AAGAAGTTGAAGCCAGAGAACCTTGAGTTCCAAGTCAGCTCCAGCAACATCTTGGTTAGGTATAGTGGCTGTAATCTCAATTCTCGGGAGTTGGAGGCAGGAGGATCAGGAGGGTTTTTTATTCGTTTTTTGTTGTTGTTGTTGTTGTTGTTGTTGTTGTTTTTGTGTGTGTGTGTTTATTGAGCTTTTTAAATTTTATACATTTCCAACTCAAATCCAAACCCCGTCCCCAAGCCATGTCTCCCCCATCTCCCCACCAAACCTCATGTACTCTGCCATACGTGCTGAGTCCTATTCATTCAGGTGTTTGTACCCAAGTGTCCTTCAGTGTAAATGTGTCCACTGGAGTCTAGTCAGCCCTTCTAGTAGTCATATGTAGGTCACACTCTCCCTCATCCAGCAGCAATCAGTCTCAAATAGTTTTCAGTCTAGTGCTGGCCCACCACCTATTTCTCACCTCCCCTTTGGGCCCTTGTTTAATTGAGCTTACATGGGTCTCTCACTGTACACTACCACTGCCACAGGCTCCCATGAGCAAGCTTCCAGTGGCCTGGAGGCCTCCACCTCCCTGTGTTCATGAACCAGTCCTGGCTTTTACAATCTTTCCACCCCCTCTTCTGCAATGGTCCCTGAGCTGTGGGTAGGTGAGATGCCATATAGGAGTCCCATCCTACACTCCACAGTCTCTTATTCTCCAAAACTTGGTCAGTTGTGGCCTTCTGTGTGCATCTCACTCTCATGTACGAGGAAGGCTCACTGGTGACAGTTCAGGGGTGAATCAGCCCTCTAAAAACAGTGGTTAGATGCCATGAAGTAGGTGGCAATGCCTTAACTGTATGCGTGTTGTTAGGCCCACAGGCCTCTTCCATCCTTGTCAAGAGGAGTGCTAACTTTCTCTCCTTTCATACAACACAGGATCAGGAGTTTAAGGCCAGCCTCGAGTACATTAGACCCTGTCTCAAGAAAAAAATTGGGGAGAGGGTGGCAAGATGGCAAGGTGGCTCAGTGGGCGAAAACACCTGACGCCAAACCTGACAACCTGAGTCTGACACCTGGAACACACATAGGAGGAGAGAACTTGACTCCTACATGTTGTCCTGTGACCTCTGTATGCACACTGTGGCAATTGTAAGAATGCATATGTGCATGCACATGCACACACGGTAAGTAAGTGTAATTTCTTTTAAAAAGTCAAATGGCTCTGTTGATCTAGATTTGGATTTGCATATTTGACTAAATTGATCTTCTTCTTTGTATCTTTATTTATATGTGAAGTGGGGACCAAAATGCCAGACTCAAAGGTGTCCAATAAGGGATTTTATGTACACGATTTCTCTCATCTGATCTCTTTCTCAGTACTAACAGGCATAAATGGTCACTACTGTCAGTTACTTTCCTGTCACTGTGACAAAACGCCTAACGGAAGACACTCAAGGGAGAAAGGATTTATCTTGACTCATGGTTTGAAAAGGATTTTAGTCCGCCATGGTGGTAACAGCATTGTGGTGGGAGTGACTTGGTCCATATTGGTGGAAGCATGAAGTGGCTCTTACATCATAGCAGGTAGGAAGCAGGGCTCAGCAGACTCAGTGTCTGCCAGCCAGATCCCACATCCCAAAATTTCCCATCACCTCCCAAAACATCACCACAAACCAAGTGTTCAAGCCCAGGAGCCTATGGGGAGCATTCAACCTTCAATCCACAGCACTGTCCGTGGTGATGAGGCTAGCCCTCATTCTCCTGACCTGAGGAAGGGAGGGGTTTTCAGCAAGGTTCTCTACTTGCACAGCTTTGGGTGTGCCTATGCACACTGCTAACTGCACGGCATGTGCACCTAGGAGTTTCAGCAGACCCTCTTCCCTGCTCACCTTCCCATGGTTGTGCAGATATTCACCAAAGGAAGCTTATGATTGTGCAGTACATGCTAAGCATCCTTTCTCTAACCTCTGTGGGTTCTAGAATCCCGTGTCCATCAGCAGCTTCACATTGTTTTCATAACAAAGATGTGTATGGGAACTTAAATCTTCATGGTTTCCTGACAAAACTTGTCTGTTCTTTTTTTATCATTATGTACCTTTTCTGTAAGGCAGAATTTTTTAAATGAGCAATGTATCAATGCTGCAGTGATTGAATTATGAATTATTTGCAGTTGAGATGGAGTGGGGTGAATTCCTGTATTACCTCACCTTCAAAGTATCCATTCCTTTGACTGCAGCTAAAATCTATTTGGAAAGGGAGTTTCTGAGAACATTCCTTGGGCTTTATTTATGGCCCAGCACCGTAGCCCAGCTGCAAGCTGACTACATACAACACAAACTAAACAGGTGCAGGAATGCTGCCTACCTCCATCTTTACTATGTAAGCTGAGTGTTCTCAGATGTGGTAGCCATCTTAAACTAGGCCTGTTCCGGAATGTGCCTGTTGCTGAAGTCTGAAGCTCTTCCCCATATGAACATGGATAGGCTCCCCAAGTAAAATCCCCACACTTCCTCGGTTCAGAGAGGGTCACGGCCTTAATTATTTCCGAAGCTCTTCTTCCTTGCCACAGGCAATGTCCTCCTCTGCTCTTTGATCTCTTGGTCAAGCTTTGGCTTTCTACTGATGAGATGCAAACCCATTAGGTTACAGGTTCCCATGATTTTCAGAAACACAATATTCACCTGTCACACAGAATGTTTCAATTTTTATTTTAAACTGAGCTCCTCTGCAACAGGCTAGCAAAATTCCTGCATTTCTTGAGAAAGCATAAGCATGCACATTGCACAACAACAAATTTAAACAGCAACCAAATACACGTCTTTAAATATCAGAAGTGATAAAGTCAAACAGCATAGTTTATCCAGATTGCAGGAATTCAACACAGATTATAAACCATTGCAACACAATGATATAAATAGTCATGCATGGCTTGTGTGCACATTTATTCTACATATTAAGATATAAAAAGGAAGTCAAAGTCACACAGTCGGGACTCCTAAATGTTCATATGAAGGGTAACAACCTGGAGGTGATGCAATAGTTTACCAGTGCTGTAGAAAATCAGGATGAGACTGAACAGAGTCCTCTTTAGGCCCATTTAATTCCCACACTGGCTGTGAGGGAGAGAACAGTGCTGGTGCTAGCATTTTTCAGCAGTATTCACAGTCTCCACGATAGTCACAGATTCACGAACAGCTAGGCTAGTGTAGTGGGAAGATGGATCGCCCAGGTCTCCTCTAACCTGAGTCTGTGGTCAGATTTGTACCTAACCCGCTGTCCTTCACCTTGGACAAGCTACAAGCCAGTCAAATTTAAACTTTAACTTTGAAGAATTGTAGAGCACTCACAGTAGAATTTTGTGAGTTTTAAAGAATCCATAGAATACTTTCTAGAAATTTGAAGGATACCAACACATATTCCAGAAGGCTTTTGAGGCCACATCAGAGGCCTCTACCAAGACCTTGCAGGTCGTCATACAAACACCTGACTAACGAAAACCTTTATTGTATATGTTATTTTCACCCAAGGCACACAGCTTCTAGATTAACTTTCTAAACAATGCCTGTGAGTCATCTCAAGGTTACTAATAACTGAGACAAAGAAACAAATTCTTATTCCCCAAAACCAGAGAGGAGCTTGGCTCCCTCTCCCTTCCATATATTTTAAAGGTATTTTGAACTTAAATGAAAATTGACTTAAATGTCAATCAAAGCAGGTAAACAAAAATCTGATGGCAACACTATTTGCTATTCATTTTTTTAAATGAGCTTTACCATAGAAAAGAAACTTTATAAAGGAATTTTCAGGTTTTCTGGGGAGTGATCCTAAATACTAACACCATTTGAAATTCTATAATCACCGATAAATCTAGTTAGTTCAGGCCTCGTGTTCGAGATATAAACTGCGGGTGAAACTCTCTTCATTCATATTTATCTTTCATAGGTAGAGATGAAATAAAAGTGGGTGCCAGATGGTCTCCCTTGCAAGATTGAAACCAGACCCTGTGTTGCCACCAGCTGCTGTCTGGGGCTGAGGAATAAAGCTTAGGAATTCCCAGCCACAGACAGAAGATGGGCAGGTGTCCAGCCAGGAAAAACTGAGGGCATGAGGGCTTCAGATGCAGGACTCACCCTGAGGTGGGGTCTGGGAGAATGTGCAGAGAGGAACCAAGGAGAAATAGGTCCATTTCTTATTCTGACAATCGCCAAAGTAACTTGTGAGGTTAGGACAAGCACATTATTTACAAAGTTTTGGTCCTGAAAAACTGTACACACAAACAGTTACAACGAAGAGGTCCAAGTCAACCTTTGGGGTCGAGGTGAGTGGGCTGGAGAGCTGGAAGGACCAGTCTGGCAAATGCCCAGCTCTGGATGCTCTAACCACTCACTATTCACCAGGGCGCTGGAACCTTGCTCTCTAGTGACTCTTCCAGGCTCCCAAGTTCTCGTGAGATCAGAGGCTGGAAAGAAAGCAGGTTAAAAGGACGGCACTTCACTCCATTCCACACCTCTAGTACCTAGGGCGTCATTACCCCGCAACACAGACAGACAAACACAGACAGACAGACAAATGGGGCGGGGGACACAAGCCCTGGCGCCATGCTCTCCAGTGGTGCTTTTTAACCTAACGAAGGTGTTTGGGCGCGTTCGCCAGTATCACCGCGCATGCTCAGTCCCTGGGACACTGACCTTGATTTTCGTCCCAGGCGGTTAGAGCGCAGCTAGGAAGACAAGCAGGATGTTCACCAGCCTAAGCAAAAGCAGGATAGTCTTCTGAAGCAAAGAAGCAAAGCACTGAGCCCAGCACAGAGCGGACGCGGGTGGGCACGACCTCCTAGACCCTCCCCTGCCCGGGGTCGCGTGTCTCCCTGTAGGGAAATCCAGGGAGAGTTACACTGCAAGTTTCCGGGGACACTGGCCACCCACGCCCCTCACTCTTTTCTGTGCGGAGTTCAGGGGTCGACCCTGCAGATTAGCTTCAGGGAGAAATCAACGCTGTTTTCTGGCAGCTGTGGTGCTCGGGCTCGGTGAGCACCCGCCACACCCGGGGGCGGGAGACTGAAATTGCCGGCGCAGACATGCTTCCTTGGGTAGCCTGAGAGTCTGCATCCCCGGCAGGGGCCTGGGGACGCCCGGGCTGCCTGTAGGGAATCGAACTCTGGTGTTTCCACGGCACCCCCGGGCTGGCCGCGCTGACGGAAACGCAGGCAGTCAGCGGGCGGTGTGGCACACCACCAGATGCCGAAGGTTCTTGCGGAAGCTGTCGTCCAGGAAGGCGTAGAGAAAAGGGTTGAGGCAGCTGTTGGCATAGCTCAGGCTCGTGATAAAGTAGGAGATGGCGATGACCAGCGGCGTCTGCGGCAGGTCGGTGGTGAGAGCCACCACGGTGCTCAGGTGGTAGGGCGTCCAGCAGACCAGGCACACGGCCAGGATCGCCGCCACCAGGAAGGTCACCCGCCTCTTGGCGCGGCCCAGGGCCTTGGCATGGCTGTCCAGCCGAATGGCACGCAGCCGGCACAGCAGGGTGGTGTAGAGGACGCAGATGGTGGACACCGGGATGGCGAAGCCCAGCACCAGCGTGTACAGGCGGCTGGCGCGCCACCAGAAGACCTCGGGCTGCGGGAAGACCAGCACGCACTGGCGCCGGCCCTCCTCGTCGTCCAGCCGGGCGAAGACTGCGAAGGGCAGCACCACCAGCGTCGCCAGCGCCCACACAGCCAGGCTGACAGCGCGCGCCGCACCGTATGTGCGGCCGGACACCCGGCGCGACTCGGCGGTGGCCAGCACCACCAGGTAGCGGTCGGCACTCATGACGGTGAGGAAGTAGAGGCTGGAGAAGGTGTTGTACTGGTCGATGGCCACGATGAGCTTGCACATGACCTCGCCGAACGGCCACTGCCTCAGCAGAAAGTCGGCGATGTTGATGGGCAGCACGAGGGTGAAGAGTTCGTCCGCGATGGCCAAGTTAAGGATGAACAGGTTGGTGACGGTCTTCATGCGTGGTGCTCGCAGCAGCACGTAGAGCACCGCCGAGTTGCCCAACAGCCCCACCGCGCAGATCACCGCGTAGACTACTGGCACCGCCACCGCTAGTGGTTGCGGCAGCGGCAGGGGCGCGGGGCTCGACGCGTTCCCGCAGCCGGGAGCCCAGTCCCGGCACGACGTGTTACCCGCTCCAGGCTCCCAGAACGACCCGTTGTGCATCCTGGCGAGGCCAGGCGACACCCTTCGGTCTCAGCAGCCGGGGGGCGGGTGGTCTGGAACCCGGGATGTGCACCCAGGTCCCGGGAATGCGCCGAGAGCTTTTCTTTGGCTTTGCAGAGGGGCGTTTCCCGCCACTACACAGCCCGCAGTCTCCTCGGGCTCCCGGGCTGGAAGTAGAATCAAAAACAGGTTAGGTTCGTCGACGTACAGCTTTAGGAAGGGAGGGGTGCAGAGCTGGAAGTATCGCCGCGCCCTAAGCCTACTCCACCGGAGCTCTACCCCCTATCTGCTGAAATCCGATTCCAGCCAGTTGCACACATCAAAGTGCTATAGAAAACGTCCCTCACTCCTAGGAAAATGCAAATCCACCTCCCCAGTTTAAAGTCACCTCTGGCACACCTGACACCCCACCGAATTCCGCACAGGCAAATTTGTGTCTCCCTCGGCTTCCTGCACCCTTGGTAACAGCAAACTCAGCAGCAATCTTAATCTTACCTGGATAGCTCCCCAAAAGGTCTGTTTCTCTGGAGAGGTGAGTGCAGGATCCCACTGTCAACTGGAGGATGCTGCCACCGCGGTGGTGGGTATACCTCCCTCCCTGCCTCTGCCCAGAGGCTGCTACTCCTGCCTCCAGAGTCGCTCTCAAAGACCTGTCACACACAGCTCCCCCCCCTTAGAAAAACCCTCAGATCTAACAGAAAACAGGATTTCTCAAAAGACAGAGCTTCTGTTCTGCCTTCCTGAAGCATAAACTGACTTCTGAAATGAAAAGCTTTTCTGCCAAGAACTGAATTTAAAGAAAACAAAGTGTGTATACTCTTTTAAAAGAACAGTGGAGATCAGGTTCCTATTCCATGTTTTGAACAGCATGCCTGAAATGGACTAATGTAATTTGAAGTTTGAAATTACATGCATACCGTAACATTACTATACAGAAGAGAAAAAGTAATGCAGTTTTAAAACACGCATGACTCATTTTATGATACTCTAGTCTTCAAAGGTTAAAGACTGTTAGTCACAAATGGTAGTTAACAATTTGAGGCGCTCCCTTTCTAAAATCGTATGTGACGTCTTCATAAAGACAAACTGCTTTGAAAGCCTTTAGAGCACAGTGACTTGATGCATGTTTCATGAAATGTTGCAAGTTGGTCAGCATTCTCCTGATTTTCAGAATCCTGATTTCTCCCCTAATGAGCACTACCTGCTGTCAGGCATTGGGTTGCCAAGGGAGCAGAGGCAGGCGTGCCATCCACTGCTGCTGGTCTCCAAGACCTTGGTTTTTAATTCCAGACAAAGAAGAAACCCACTAAATCACCTCATCAGTTAGAGGATTATATTTCGTTTTTTCAGTTTCCTATCCCACCCCCTTCATTTTGAGAGATCAACAAATTAAAACACTGGATTCGGATTTTATCCACTAATATTAAACTTCCAGTCATTAAAACAGGTAACACCCAGAGCTTATCTGGTCCTTTAACTGTCAGGAATTGACATACTGCAAAAGAGGCCTCAAGCCACCAGGAGCAGACCCCTTTAGAGTTGGCAAGACAGTGTTTTCCTTTACCCATTATGTTCTGACTTACATAAATTTGGAATAACAGGTTCTCAGGCTGTGTCTAGGAGTGCTTCCTCACTTAGGTGGCCTGTTGCTCTCTTGAAGTGTATTCTGATTTGCACTATTACTTTGCTTTTGAATAAAGTAATAGTTTCCCTCTTACTTTGCAATGAATCAATAAATAAATGTTTCAAGTAAGCATTATAAACCATTTTAGATTAAAAATATAATATAACAATAGTATAATATTTGTTTCTTCCTTAAAGATGGGGGTCTCAATGTATGGGCTCAAGTGACTCTCCCACTATGTGCTCCAGAGTTGCTGGGATGTGACACCATGACCAGCTCAATATTTATCTTTTAATGATGAGATGACATCATTATGGTCTGAGTGTTTGTGTCCTTCTCTATAGTCATATATAGATAATTCCTTACAGTGGTTGACTTAAATGTTTTCAATTTTACAATGGTTCAAAGTAGTGGCTGTATAATAGAAACTGTACTTTGAATTTTGGATTTAAATATTTTCTTGTTGCAATTTTGTTGGGCAACAGCAGCAAGCCATAGTTCCTAATTAGCCATGTAATCAGTAATCCTTACTCTACAGTGTCCTGGAGGTGCTAAGCTATGATGGCTGGTAGGTTAGATGTGCTCAATGCATTTTGACTCATGATATTTTCAAGTATAGTAGCTATCTGATGATGTAATCCTATTGTAAGTTGAGGAGAACCTGTATTAAAACCTAAACTCCAGTGTTATGTATTCAGAGATGGTGTCTTCAGGAAACAACTTGGTTATGAGATTAGTGGCCTTCTATAAAGAAAAGGCCACAGAGACGCTCTGTTGCCCCTTTCACATTGTGATATTATGATGACAAGATGGTTGTCTGGGAAGCTTACTTCACTAGAGTTTGTCTAACCCCTTGATCTTGGCCTTCCAAGTCTCTGAATCTGTAAGAAATCAATTTCTCTTGTTTAAAAACTATCTAGTTTATGGTACTTTGTTACAGCAACCCAGAGACTAAAACAGGAAATAAATAGCAAGATATGGGTGCTACTATACCAAGTTAGCCAACACTGGGGAAGCATCTTGGTAAAGAGTGAGGCAGGAAGAATTTTGAGGTTCACTCTAGAAGAGACCTACAGTGTCATGAGTCCTGGTGAGGCTCAGAGAGAAAAGAGAAGAGGGGTGGCCAACGCTTCACTTCTCTTGGAGAATACATAAGTATCAGAATCAGAATGCTGATGGACTAGTAAGGCCAGAAATGTGGAAGACGCTATTGGAAACTGTATAAAAAAATCCTTTGTTACACAGTGGCAGAGAATATGGGCTGAGCTGTGTTCATGTCCTAGCGCTTGTGCCAGGTAGGACTTATGAGTCATGACATTGGATATTTGCTTTAAAAAAAAATCTAAACCACGAGCATCTATCAAATGTTTAAGGACCCACTTAGTTCCTCTTGAAAACCTATAGTAAAATTATGGAAGAAAGAAATGAGTCAAAGATAAACTTGGTCATCAAAACAGTAACAGAACTTAAAGATTTGGAAATTTCAGGGAATATCCAAATCAGAAGGAATGTAGCATAACAACTATTGCATCTAATAATGAGATTAGCCAGTGACCTGAACAGAAACCAGGATCTCTTCTATTGCCCCAAACCATGGCACACTGTGATGCAAAAACCAGCACACTGCCCAAGCCCTTATCACAGGCCTAGAGCATCCAATCCCAGAAGCTTGCAGCCCCCTTAGAAAGTGCCCACCATAACTTAACCCCAGATCAACAGAACCACTAAAGCATAATTTCAGTCTTTGTTAGCTTCAGCCACAACCCCAGCACAGAACTATCAGAAGTAGGGCCATCCAACCAGGTGTGGTATCCAGTATTCTAGGGACTAAAGCAGAATTGTCATGAGTTTGAGGTCAGTTTGATCAACATAGCCAGTTCCAGACCAGTCAGGGCTACATGAGCGATCCAACAA